AGACGGACATCGTCATTAAATATAATGTTTTTATACCGACCGTCGAGAGGTCAACGTATACGGGGCTCGTACTGTGAGAGTACACATGGATCGAAAACCTACAGACTTGGATGCACCGCTCGACCCAACTTTACAGAGATTTGATCTTGCGCCTTTGCATATCATACGTGTTCAACCAAGCCCCAAGTATTCACGAAATGCTGCATTTTGTGGTAACGGAGGCGCGTGAGCCTCTTCAGACACTTGGTCTTCCATTGCCCGGAAGGATGATTGGTATGTTTATCTATGAGGAAAATAACCTTGCAGCTAACGACTGTAGACTGTATCGATCGACATCGACAGGAGGCTGTGCAACGCATCATCGACAAATATCACGGCCTTACCCAATACTTCACGGTTCGAAATTGCTGCTCATTTGAGTGTAATTCGATTCTGCTAGGAAGTCTTCTCACGGCGATGGTTGAGCAAGGCCTCTACTTCCCAATGCCGGCACGGCCATTTCATGGCTATAGTGTGGCAGAGCTCATAAGTGGCGTCCGTAAGATTAAATCGCCCACCTGGTCAAAAGTCGGTAGCAAATCGCGCAAGAAAGTCGCACCCGCCCATTCTTGCAGTCTCAATGGATTCTTCGAACCTGTCATCAAGCAGGTGGAAGGTGCCGAAACACCGGCTGGCACCAGGGAGGGCTGGGCACATACTTCAGTGGGGAAAAGACAGACACATAGTAGGCGGATGTGAGTGTTCTTGCCAATACTGAAACCCGGCGATCCAGCAAACTGTTCTGGCTTGCTCGGCGTTATGTATGTCGGGCTCCGCAACTTCGACGGTACATATTTCGGAGATGTGGCCGATCTCGACACAGCGTCCGAGGCGTTCTCCAAGCAGTGCATCAAAGGCAGCACTCCGCTCTTTGATGACTGATGTGCTGGACTGGTTTGCGAGGTTCAGCGACAGTCTGTCAACTTTCGCGGAAGTCTACAAGCCCAGTCCCGTGCGCCAGCGAATACCATTAGCGAGACCTAATGAGCCGATCGACGGCTCTATCGCGAAACGCAAGATGGATGTCGGAGTCGTGAACGACTCGAAAGCCAAGAAAAACTCCAGATGGCCTC